GGGACAGTGGTGAAGTGGTGTAGAGATTTCTCTTCCTACTTCCTCCTACTGAGAGTAACAAACACACTTCTCTCCCAGACTCTTTTCCATTAGCATTTTAATGATTGAGGCAGTAATAATTGCTTTAAAGGGACAGCAATATACAGAGGTGAAATAAATAGTTTTATAATAATAATAACATCAATAATAATATTTTTACTTATTCCCTTTATTACTGGTTTATGAGGCGTTGGTAAATTCCACCGAATGTCTTTGTAGCAGCATTCTGTACTCCGATAAATACAGGAACATTTTGCTCCCGGGTCCCGTTTACAAAAAACACAAGTATAGAGATAATTGCCCCCCGTTCAGAGTCAGGGCGCTGATCTGCCCCTGCAGCGTTCCCCTGTAAGCCCCCCTGCCGCTTCTAGGGGTCTCCCGGGGGGGGGCGATGTCAGTAACATCCAGTTTCTTTGGTCGATATAATTTTTGGTACGATTCCCAGCTCCCAGGTTCAGTCCAGGCAGTGCTGTTCTGGGATGGGATACTGGGGGGAAGAAGAGGAGGGATCTTGTGTGGTGTGTGTGTGTTGTGGGGGGGGAGCTCCCAAAATCCCCTCTCCCTGCCTCCCTGCGGCCCCTCAGTCTCAGTTTTTCATTTCTGAAAGGCATAGAAGTCAGTGGTGGTGGGCGGGGCATCCACAGCCTGGCTTCACTCTTCTGTACTGCAGCTCCTCTCCGGTCTAGTCCAGTACCACACTTTACTATCTACTCCACTCCAGTCCAGGCAGGTGGTAGTCCAGTACCACACTTTACTGTTCACTCCAGTTCATCCAGTACCATCATTTTGCTGTCCACTCCAGTACTGCTTTTTACTGTCCACTCTAGTTCAGTCCGGTAACACACTTTACTGTCCACTCCAGTTTAGTCCAGTCAAGTCCAGTACCACACTTTATTGTCCTCTTGTGCCCAGGACTGTGCTGTATTGTCCACTCCAGCCCAGGACTGTATTTATTGTCCACTCCAGTCCCGGACTGTGCTGTACTGTCCACTCCAGTCCAGGACTGTATTTATTGTCCACTCCAGTCCCGGACTGTGCTGTATTGTCCACTCCTGTCCAGGAATGTGCTGCCCTTAGAGCTTTTGCAGTTTAAATAACCTTCTTCACTTGTAATACACTACAGAGTAACATGTATATGCAAAGCAGTGTCTATACATTCCTGTTCATGCTATACTTACGATCTGTTCCTTTTGTATCAGTGAAACAGTACTATGACCTCTATAGTACTCTAACTGTAAACTGTACTGAATTGTCTCTTATATAACATACTGTCTAGTGTGCACTGTACAGTCATTAGTGCACAGTACTGTCTATAGTGTGCTGTCTTCTGCACACTGTCTACACAGTACTATCTGTAATGTACAGTCTTTAGTAATTGTCTGCACTATACTATCTATAGTATACTGTCTTCTATGTAGTGTCTGTAGTATATTCTCTACACAATACTATCTACTGTCTTCTGTAGACTGTCTAAAGTGTACTGTGAACAAAGTACTGTCTATAGGGTACTGTCGATAATGTACTGTTTATACTGGAATATCTCTTGTGTGCTGTTTCCTCTCTACTGTCTATAATGTACTGTCTTCACAGACCTATCTACTGTTTGCTGTGTTCTGCATACTGTCTAGAGGATACCATTCGCATTGTACTATTTATAGTGTACTGTCTTGTGTGTTCACCCTACACTGGACCATCTACATTGTGGTGTCTTCTCTGTAATGTCTACACAGGATATCTATAGTGTACTGTCTTTTCTGTATTGTCTAATAATGTACAGCCTTCTGTGTACTGTCAACTCTCTACTGTTCTGTTTAGTCTGTTTTGTATTGTCTTCAGTGTAATGTCTTCAATGTATTGTCATTGTATCGTCCAGTCCTCTCTAGTCTTGGACTATGCTGTACTGTCCACTCCAGTCCAGGACTGTCCTGTATTGTCTACTCCAGTGCAGGACTGTGTTGTATTGTCCACTCCTCTCCAGGACTGTGCTGTACTTTCTTCTCAAGTCCACGACTGTGCCGTATTGTCCACTCCAGTCCCGGACTGTGCTGTATTGTCCACTCCTGTCCAGGAATGTGCTGCCCTTAGAGCTTTGCAGTTTAAATAACCTTCTTCACTTGTAATACACTACAGAGTAACATGTATATGCAAAGCAGTGTCTATAGAGTATCGTCTACACTGCAATATCTTCAGTGCACTGTCAACACTATTCTATCTGTACTGTCTACACTGTACTATCCATAGTATACTGTCTAGTGTACTGTCTGCACTGTACT